AACACACACACACACACACACACACACACACACACTGCATTTGATTATTTTCAAGAAAAGAGCAAATTCTAGCCACTGACAGCCCAACAGGCTAGGAAATTTTGACAAGCCATCATTAACAAGCACTACATATAACCAGATGGGATTTCCTTTTAGTTTTGGTAAGAGTTTTACGGCACTTGCAACACAATAAGGTCATATAAATGCCGAAAATTAGAGGTGTCACAAGAGAGTAACAAACATAAAAAAGAAGGAGAGATCAGGACGATAGATGTTCGATAGAAAATAAGAAGCAAACCACACCGGAGCACCCGCCAACCACCCACAGATGGGTTTTAATGGACATCATTAACTATTCAAGGTTTTTAAAACCTTCATGTGGCCCATCACTTACTTTGTATGATGAAGTCTGGCCTGGCGAGGTAATAGGTTACATACTCTCGGGGTAGATTCTTAGATGGGAACAAACATTAGTTTCGCAATCTTAACTCCCTTATCAATTAACACAAAGTTTCATTAACTGGATTCATTACCTTTTTTTTTTTTTTACATATATCTATAGTTCTAAAAAATGCACTAAGGTTTCAAGAATTTTTCAGGAACTTTTTAACACATCTTGTGTGGAAAAAAAAAAGCCCCTAAAAATAAATGACAATCACTGTTGCCTTTTACACAACCACAACCACTCTAGTTTTAGTAAGTGTTTTACAGCACTTGCAACACAATAAGGTCATATAAGTGCCGAAGATTAGAGGTGTTACAGTTTAAGAGAGTAACAAACACAAAAAAGAAGGGAGGGGAGATAAAGACGATAGACGTTTGATATGGAAAGAAGAACCAAACCACAGCAGAGCACCCGCCAACCACCCACAAGCACTGACCGTCAAGGTAGCTGATCAGCTTTGGAATGACGGCGTCCCACAGACCCACAATGCCGTCGTGCAGATTTGGAGACAGACCCTTCATCAGGTTCAACACGTGGATGCCTCGCTCTCGGCCGTTACGGGGACGTCCTGCCAACACCTGGACAAGCAGAAACAGATGAAGGTTGGGGGAGGATTGCTTCCTCACAGGTGAGTTCTAGTTCTTGTAAGAGTTTCACGGCACTTGCAACAGAATAAGGTCATATGAGCGCCAGAAGATTAGAGGTGTTCCAAGAGAGTAACAAAAAGAAAATAGAAGGAGGGGAGATAAAGACGATAGATGTTTGATAGGAAAGAAGGAGCAAACCACATCAGAGCACCTGCCAACCACCCACGCAAAAATAAAAATAACAAGTGAGAAAATTCACAAAAATAATAATACTACAAAATGATAATAATAATAACAGTGATCATGATAATAATAATAGCAATCACCAGAAGGAATATAATACCAATTTTAATGACAATTACAATACTATAGTAAACTAATAATACAGCTTTATACTTCTACCACAACCAGCAACGGACTGCATTTATATAGCCCATATCTCAACTGGAAAGTAAACTCTATCCAACACTTTCATGAAACACATTAAGATACATAATGGTAAGAAAAACAGCTTATAAAACATGAACATTTATTGTCATAGTTATAGTAAAAGGAAAGTTTTTATAATCCTTGAGTGACAAACAGTTTAGTTTAGTTTTAGTAGAGGTTTTACGGCGCTCGCAACTGCATAAGGTCATATGAGCGCCAGAAGATTAGAGGTGTTACAAGAGAGTAACAAACATATAAAAGAAGGAGGGGAGATGAGGACGATAGATGTTTGATAGGAAAAAAAGGAGCAAATCACACCAGAACACTCGCCAACCACCCACACAAACAGTTACTTTTTAAAGTTTTAGTAGAGGTTTTACGGCGCTCGCAACTGCATAAGGTCATATGAGCGCCAGAAAATTAGAGGAGTTACAAGAGAGTAACAAACATAAAAAAGAAGAAGGGGAGATAAGTTAGAGATGTGCTTACCATAAGCCGAGCAATAAGCTGAGTCTGCTTTGGAATGTTTGCTGCAATAGGAAAAGATACAAAAATAGGAAAAAGTTACAAAGTTTGTTTAGATTGTCGACTCAAGGGAGATATCTGTGCAAAACTTTGAGACTAAAACACAGATACTTGACCGTATACAGTGGAGTCCACTTCAATGGAAATCTTTGGGACCACCAGATTTTCTTCAGTACAGCTGGGTTTTCAGTTTAGACAGCTTGTTCAAATAGAAGAAAAAAAATCGGGGATTTAATTTTTTTTTTCGGTTTACTGCTTTTTTGTCGGAGGACTGCATTCAGTTTAAGCGGACTCCACTGTGATTCTACACGAGAACAGGTGATGTATGCAATATGTGACAATCCACAACTTCGGCGAAGAAAAAGGAGCAGGACAAAAATCTCTTTAGTAAGAGTTTTAAGGCACTTGCAACACAATAAGGTCATATAAGTGCTGAAGATTAGAGGTGTCACAAGAGAGTAACAAACACAAAAAAGAAGGAGAGATCAGGACAATAGATGTTTGATAGGAAAGAAGAAGCAAACTGCACCAGAGCACCTGCCAACGACCCACAAAAATCTCTGGCAGCATGAAGAACATGACATGAAATTTGAAAAGAACTGAAAGAGAAAGTAGGAGGACAAGTGCTTCGTGAGCAGAAGGTGACAAATATCAAGCCATGTTAGTAACACAGCCATAAAGTGGGCTGTCACTTTGGTGTGTTCTTGAGCAAGACTTGAGAAAGGATAAAGTGCTGAACAGCAGTGTCTTTAGTTTTAGTAGAGGTTTTACGACGCTCGTAACTGCATAAGGTCATATGAGCGCCAGAAGATTTGAGGTGTTACAAGAGAGTAACAAACATAAAAAAGAAGAAGGGGAGATAAGGGTGATAGATGTCTGATAGGAAAGAAAGAGTAAACCACACCAGAGCACCCGCCAACCACCCACAGCGGGTGTCTAGTAATAGCATGTTTGTTAAATTGTTTCTTTTGGCGTCTATCATCGTTATCTCTAATCCTTCTTTTCTTCGCATGCTACTCTTAAGAAACACCCCAAATCTTCAGCACTAACATGACCCAGATGTGCTGCATGTGCTGTACAACTCTTACTAAAACTAGATCTATATTTTAAAAAAGGAAGGGTTTAAAGGGTTGAAAAGGTTCAAATTTATTAAGATTTCAATTTTCAGTTTGAGTGTAAAAAAAAGCATCTCAACACAATAAGGGTCATCTATTTCAGTTTTAGTTTTAGTAGAAGTTTTACGGCACTCGCAACCGCATATGGTCATATGAGCCCCAGAAGATTAGAGGTGTTACAAGAGAGTAACAAATATAAAAAAGAAGAAGGGGAGATAAGGATGATAGATGTTTGATAGGAAAAAAGAAGCAAACCACACCAGAGCACCCGCCAATCACCCACCATCTATTTCAAAAGGAAAAAGTAAGAGAGAACAAATAACAGAGAGAAAAAGAGAAGTAACCCCCACCAATAACAATCTCCAACCACACCATTAACCACACACACACACACACACACACACACACACACACTCACACACACACACACACACACACACACACACACACACACAC